TCGTTTGATCACAAGATTTAAACTATTTGATTTCTAGCTTTTGATTGTTGTTTAAACGTGTCAGATGATGTTTACGAAAATGCGCTTGTTTAGGTTAAAGCCCAATGAGTATATAAAAACTCCTTCTGGCCATTATTTCGTAAAGAAGGAGGTCAGGCGAGGGCTGCTCCCAGATATCCTGGAAGATCTTCTGAACGCGCGAAAGCGTGCCAAAGCTGATTTGAAAAAGGTCTGTTTCATAAATTTATTGTAGTGTTTCTCTATAGTTTTTTAAAATTCTTTAGTGATACTTGTAAGTACATGCGTTATATCAATAGTAGAATATATCAGTTAAAAATTGGTATAAATGTTCAGAACGTTTATATGCACAATTCTTCATTACGGTAGTCTTAAAGTTGTTTATTCCTCACAGCAACGTTATACATAAGTTGCCGGACGTTTGGATCACACCGGATCCACTTTCAGAGGCCATATCCATTACAGCACAATATGCGTGATTCCATAAACCGAGGTTGCACTACGTAATAATATCGCTCTTTACTTTTAAATGTTTAAAGTACTGTTTAAGCTGATGATTACATCATAATATACTGGAACCCCCAGTATGCTTATTTATATATATCATATTTTTATTGGTATTTGCTAATTGATATACTCTGATTTTGATTCTTACCTGTATTTATAGGAAACTGACCCGTTTGTCCGTCAGGTTCTCGACGGTCGTCAGCTGGCGCTAAAAATCAGTGCAAACTCTGTGTACGGTTTCACGGGTGCACAAGTTGGTAAACTGCCATGTCTGGAAATTTCTCAGGTTTCAGGAGCTTTGAACCAGGCTCGTTTTGTTTAATATTTTATACTTTAGAGCGTTACCGCCTTCGGTCGTTTGATGATTGATCGGACCAAGAGCGAAGTCGAAGCTAAGTTTACCGAAGCGAACGGTTATCCTGCAGACGCAAAAGTAACCTAATGCTCTGCTACTGTGGTCCTCTGGGGGTGGGCACATCTGGTGGATTTGTGACAGCGTTTCAATGAGAGTCTGTTGTAATATAATATTGCATTGACAGGTTTCAATTTTTATTTATTTCATATACCCACTTTTCAAGGCTGGTAGTCTCTCATTCTACAAAAAATAGCTTAAAGGCATATAATATTCTTTCCGTACCAATTACTAGCCTTAACCTTGAAAACATTATACTAAAGTTAAAAAGTTAAACCAACTGAAATTAAAAGGGTAAATCTTAAAATGTATAGTTACATTCAAATCAAAACGCTGTTTTTTAACAGAATTTTCACTTTTTTTTACCGTTGATACTCGTTTTTAGGTAATATATGGCGATACGGATTCAGTTATGGTAAGCTTCGGCGTCGATTCGGTCGCAGATGCGATGGCTTTAGGTCGTGAAGGTGCAGAATATGTTTCTTCCCGATTCCCTCCTCCGATCAAGTTAGAATTTGAGAAAGTATGATTGGCAGTTTTTGAAAATATCTCATATTTATGATTATGTTTGTTTAGGTATATTATCCATATTTATTAATTAGCAAAAAGCGGTATGCCGGCATTTACTACACGAAACCAGAAATTTATGACAAGATGGACTGCAAGGGCATTGAAACCGTCAGGAGAGACAACTGTCCGCTGGTTGCAAAAGTATTAAGCACGTGCTTGCAGAAGCTTTTGATTGACAGGTTAGATATTGTAGTCTTACTACTTTTAGGAAGAATTTCGTACTAAGGTTAGAAAGAATGGAGGTTCTATCAATGAAAGAATCTGGACAGTAGAATGCGGTTTTTGTCAATGATAGAAATTTCAAGACTGTTGTTTCTATTTCGTATTTATCTCTAATGAGCGTATAAATTCATTTATCTATCTTCAAAGGAGGTGGTAATATTTCGAGTACATTTTATCTGATCTTTCGTTTATTCTGTCAAACCGAACGTGATCTGTAGTAGCCCATGTGTGATGAATATTCAAGTTATGTGGTAAAATTTTCGCTGATGGATGGAGCCTCGCTGCCGACGACGAGGTTCTGATAAACAGTTCTCAAAATAGCATTATATATATGTCCCTCTACATGGTGAACCGGTTGGATATGCTGCCGAGAGCCATCTCCAGTGGGGCGAGGCTGCAAGGCACGGCATTGGTCAGAAAACTCTGCCGTTGCCTAGACCTTACCAGCCGCGTCCCTTTTGCATCGCTGAGCTGGTGAAACGACGTGGAGGACGTGGACCTGGTTGCAGGATCCGTGGAAGACGAAGGCTATATTTCACAAAGATTGGAAACCTGAATGAACTGCTTACGAAATTCGCCAAAAGTACGTTGCGTGCAGAAGAATACCGGGGTAATAAGTGCAGGCTACCATGTCGGCTTTCAGAGTGCTGAAATTACTTACGACTCTGTGATGGCCAGAACTCAACGAGCAAAAGGAAAAGGTTATCATTAAGATCTCCATGGTCAGCCACAACACCACAACTCTGTCGTCAGACACACTCATCCACATATGCATCAGCGGCAAAGAAGATTGAACCAGATGTTCTCAGCGTGTGCCAAACTTGAAGATCCGCCGATATTGGCACACAATGGAGGAACGGATTGGACAGGCGATGTATGATTTATCGTAAATAAGAGGGTTGTACCGCTTGTAATTAACTGTGACTGTTGCGCAAAGATTTGGGAGAACTCTGACGCATACAGGATAACGAAGCTAAGAGAGGTTACACGAAGAATGGCCGGAAGGCGGCGGAAAAGAACAACCTCCTAAAACAACGGATTCCTGTAGCACTAAAGGACGAATGAGGAACAAGGGCCATAGATCGCTATCGCATAAAAGCTACCTGTACAGGGTTCTGCAACAACTTTTACTCGTCCAAGATAGTGGTAAACAGGAAGCTGTTACAGAATAAAGCAGACCGTTCACCTCGGACGAAGTAGAGTGGACAATCAAGAATATGAATGATGGCAGATATCTTGATATAAAACCGGAATCTTCACAAGTCATGAGGAATGACCCAAATTGCCTTTACAGAACGATTTACAGAGTGCATCAGGCTTTAGAAACCGCCAGAAGCGTGGAATGGCTTCTCAGTGATTCTTCTATTCAAGAAAATTGATGGTGAAGACCTCCAAAACTATCGACCCATCCCTCTTTTGTTAAAGGTCGTTATCAGAATCGTACTCAATATTATTCAGACAGACCTGGAACTGATCACCAGTAAAGAA